TCTTCCTCTCTCCCTTCCTTCTCTCCTTCCCCTTTCTCTGTTTTTCTTTTTCCCTTTTTGTTTTTGTACTTTATTGTGGGTTCTTAGCTGTACTTACTGCCTTGGCAGATGTCCCTGAGCCTTCCCACACCAGTCCCTGGGAGCCTTGTCGTTCCCCTGCTGTCCTCATCGACCCATGGACTTGAGAAAGTGCTCTTAGGTCTCAGAATACAGACGATTAGCATTTTGATACTAGTTTATAGTCTGCAAGTTACATCCACATTGCTTCTCTCCCCTGAAAGCTGCGTGAACCTGTTTTACAATGGTGACGCCGAGGCTCAGCGAGCTGGGCGTCCTGAATGGGCGACCTGTGGCCCCGACTTCCTCTTTTCAAAGCCACCAACTGGAGGATTTCAGGGGTGTCACTGGGGTGGTGTGTGATGTAAAATTAGTTGACACTAAAACATGAAATATGCACGCCAGGTTGACTTTTTTGGGAGACACAGTTTTCATAAGAGCAGGAACCCAGCTAATGAAATGCCTGCATCTTGTGATGACTTGGATGTGGAAATTTCTCAGAAGTTGTCTATTTGCAGTTCCGGCTTGGTTATCCTAACCATGTAAAATAAGGTCCGAACAGAGACGTTACCCTCTTGGACAGAGAAAACATTCACCTCGACAGAGGCTGTGGTCAGCTAGAACACACAGCAAGGGTAGCCCACCCCCCGTCACAAAGCGGAAGTGGCTGGTGCTGTGACGTCGCTCACCGAAAACCAGTCTGCCCAGCTGCCCGTGTCCTGGGGAAGCACAAATCCTGCAGCCACGTTTATAATCTCCATTCACAGACGAAGACACACTCGGGCACTTCGCTCACTTGGCCAAGACCATTAGTGCTAAGCGTCGGCAGCAGGATTTGAACCCACTGGTTCTTGAGATCATTGTGTTTCCCCGACACCCTGCTGTTCACTCTGTCTCTGGGGTTTCACGCCCCCAGGGCTCATTTTAAAGTGGGCTGGTCTCCTCATTGCCTCCCCATGAGCCCTCAGGGCCCAGGAAGGCAGTGAGGTGCTCTGGGGGCCCTGTGCCCAGGGGGCTTGGTAGCATGGAGGTGATGGAGTCCTGAGCTTTCACCGCTCAGCTCCCGTCTGGCAATGTTTCTGACAAGACACCCTCCCCTGCCTTCATCGCAGGATGTCCCCACCTGCGGCAGCCTCGGCAGTGGGACAGATTCACAGTTACTTGTTGGACGCCTGCTGGAAAGTGCCAGCAAGGCCGGACATGTGACCACTGTAGGCAGAGGGAAGGTCCCGGAACTCCTCCGGCGTTGTCTCTGGGCTGCTCCCAGCCCCCTTTATTAGGTGGTCTTGGGGGCTCCAGTGCCCGGCTCCCACCTCCCTGTGTTTCTGACAAGACACCCTCCCCTGCCTTCATCGCAGGATGTCCCCACCTGCGGCAGCCTGGCCAGTCAAGGACCTGCCATCTTGACTGTGTAACCGATACCTGGGGTGAACTCTGCGCCACGTCACCCCACAGGCCTGCTCCTGGGGGGCATTTCTAGAGGGAGTCCTTATCCTCCTGTGATGCTCCCCCTTTGGGAAAATCATGAGTTTAGCTCTACGGTTGTCGAGAAGCAGTTATCAGGCTGGCGTCTCTGCCATTCGGGTTGCTCAGACCAGCTCAGCATGGGGCAGGGGATAAACACCAGGCCTTGGAGACAGACAGGGCCTCCGGTCGCTGAGCCACCCTCCCCCTGACCCCGGCGTTCTGCCTTGACGTGGAGACCGTCTTCCGCGAGGCAGATGAAAGCGCCGTTTGAAGGGCGAGCGCTGGCACAGGAGGCCGCGAGGAGAGCCCGAGGATCTGCGTTTCCTACGCTCTCCCCGGCGGCGCCCGGGCTGCCCGTGGCGGACCACCCTCTGCGCAGCCGCGTCTCGGCCGCAGCCCCGCCTGGCACTGTCTCCGCTGCCCCAGCATTCCAGGAGACTGTCTCCAGCGTCGTCCCCACCCTGCACTGACCCCCGTTCTCTTCTGTCCCCCTAGGGTTCCCTGGGCCTGCCCGGCTCCCCCGGGAGAGACGGCAGCAAAGGCATGCGGGTACGTCTGTTCCCACCGCCCTTTCTTCAGGCAGCACCAGGTCTGCGACCCCCTGGCCAGAGCCCCTATTCTCCGGTGGGGTGGCCTTTGCCAGGGCCAGGCCTGAGCTGGGGCTCATTTGTCCCAGCATCTTCCCAGGTCCCCGTGGGTCAGCCTAGTGGTCGCGGCAGTGCCGGCAGCAGCCGTTGCCACCAGGCGTCTCCAGGTGTCCTTGGGAGCAGTTTTCTCACTTAGTTTGACAAGCAGTTGTGCCAGAGGGCTCGCTGTCCCCAGTGCTCAGATCTGGAACCATGTCCACGTCTGAGGCGAGGGATTCGCCCAAGACCCCAGTTCTTAGCTAGAGACGCTGGGTGGGGCCTGAGCAGTACCCCGTGCCCTGCGCGGCCAGCCAGCCTCCTGCCTGTCATCACCCCCTCCACCTGTGCAGAAACCCAGTCAGAGGCCACCTGACTCTGGTCAGTCTGCCTCGGGAAAAGGGCCGCTCGCCTCCGTCAAGAACCCCCTGGGATGTCAGGCCCCCCGCCGCTCTGCCTTTTTGAGATTTGTAGCCACGTCTGAGCAGGTCTCAGAGGGGAGCCTGACTCGGGAGCCCCCCACCCCTGCAGCTTGTAGGCTTCAGGACAGGAGGTGGGGGGATGGGGGCTAGGGGAGAAAGGGGAGTTGCACGCATCTCCAGACCCCTCAGCTCCCCTCCAGGTGGCCAGACTCCTCTCGGTCAAGAAGACCTGCCCCGTGTCTCCAGCCACCGTGCTCTCTCCCCATCCTGTCGGATTTGTTGTGTTAGGCTCTGGCATAGGAGCCAGGCAGGGTGGAGATGACACCACTCACAGCTACAATCAGTGCCTTTGCTTACAGAGGTTCTGATGGCAGCCGGGGTGGCCCACAGCTGCCACCTGCATTGCATCTGTGATGGGTTCTGAGTTCCAGGAATGGATGCACCCAGAGGCTTTGGGCTGCCTGTGTGGCGGGGCCTGTGTCCCCCTGGTGCTGACCACGTGCTGCTTTGTGTGCAGGGGGAGCCTGGAGACCCGGGATTGCCTGGCGAGGTGGGCATGCGGGTAAGTGTCCCTTGGAGCTGTGGGCAGATCTTGCTGAAAGGCCACCTGAGATGTAGGGGAGATGCCTGCCTATCCTTATGACAACCGCATGCATGCGTGTGTGTGTGTGTGTGTGTCCGCACATACGTGATTTTCCTAAATTCTTACAAAAAATGAGTCATACCATACTCGGCCTTGAATTTTTTTCATTTAACAAAAGATCAGAGGTATCTTTTCACACCAGTAGATACCACCCATTATCTTAATCTATGCTTTTATTCCATCATGTGGATGCATCGTAATTTGTGTAACCTTTCTTCTGTTGATGCACGAGTGCATGTGTATGAGTGTGTGCGTATGTTCCTCCTTACGTACTACATTTTTATTTCGGTAGGATAGATTACAGAAGTTGGGATATCTCTAGATGAGAAAAAGCACATTATAATTTTAATAGATATTGCCAAATTAGTTGCTTAAAAGCTATAACAATTCATGGCCCGGCCGACAAAGGAGCCCGTGGGCTCTGCAGATTTCTGTAGGACTTTGTCGGGACTCGTCCAGGCTGTCCTGGCCGCAGGGCAAAGTGTGCACGCTGAGCTGCAGGGAGCCGCCCTGTGATCAGAAGCTCTGCACATATCCTGGCTAGATCGTGGGACAAGAGACACAGGGCATGGGATCTGGGAACTGTTGCACTGGCCTTGTTATACCTCGGAGCCACCACGCTGCTAGCTGTCCCTGGAAGCTGAGTGGATCGGGCGTGAGCCCTGGCCCCAGCAGGCAGGGGTGGCCTGAGCGCTGAACAGGAGGGCATGGAGGCGGGGGTCCCTCGATGAGATGCCCTGCGAGCAGCTGGTGGCAGGTGGCATGGGGCAGAGGACCTTGTCCCCAGACAGTGCGGGCGGGTGTCGCCTCCGTTCCTGCCTCTTCTTTCCGTTCCTAATCTCTCTGGGAACATGCCTCTGCAGGGACCGCAAGGACCCCCTGGACTTCCCGGACCTCCTGGCCACGTTGGAGCTCCTGTAAGTAAGGGCGCTGGTCTGGCAGGGGTTCTGTCCCCTTTTCCAGGGACGGGGACCCAGGCTGTCTGACAGGGCCCCCTCCTGCATCTGTACACAGAGGACCCGTTGCCTTGCACGTGCCAATGGCAATGAAGTGTTTTCTTTCTTCTTAGACCAGAAATGCTTGGACATTGTGGTACCTAAGAATCTCCTGGGGAACAAGTTCAGATGCACATCCCCGGGCCCCCATTCCCAGATGGTGAAGCAGTGGGTTTGGGTGGAGCCCAAGAGTATGCATATTTACCTGCATCCCAGGCGTTTCTGACACTTGACCTCAGGAAGCCATTTTACCAGGCCGTCTAGCTCACTGCTCGGAAGGGAGTGGTGCCTTTATTCATCCCCGGCCTCTGAAACAGTGCCAGACACATGATGTATGCAATGACCGTGTACCCCATGAATAAAGTGATGGACACATAGATATGGTACATGAGGAGCAAAGTGGCTACTTGGGTGTCAACCTATACTTGGTTCTCATTAAGAAGGATGGGAGCCGAGTTATAGGTCATTTTCAAACGAGGCAGCCTGCACTGCCTCGGGGCATTCAAGGCCTTTGATCTCTGTGTGTGTGGCCAAAATATTTGGATGGAATTAAAACAGCCTGCACGTCCAGTTCCCTCCCCAGGCCCAGGTGGCCCACACACCGTCTGCCCTCTGGGACAGCTTCCTATGGCTTGGCCCAGTCCCTCCTCTCCGGGCACCAGAGATGTCCGTATTGTTCCCGGAATCAACAAGTAGGTGTGGGCCACCCTGCTTTCTCTAATGTCTTCTGCACACAGTGTCAGGAAAGGCGAGGGGAGAGAGGCGGCCACACGGGAGTTCTCAGAGTAACACGAGCATGTCAGCCCTCCGGCAGGGCCGTGCGCCGAGCTCTCGTGCACCCCTGGCCTGCGAGCTCTGCCCGGGGAGAGGCCGGGCTTCCGTCAGCTTGCAGCCGCTCCGCCTGCGCCTCTCGGAGCGGTAGACACACGCCCGTTCAGTCCTCTGCACTTCGGCGTGGGGCAGCAATTTCCACGAGATTCTCATGCCGAGCAGTGATTGATCCAGTCACTCACTGAATCATTTCTCTTAACAAGTGTTCGTGAATATCAGGCATTGGGCGCTGCCCTTCTGGGGCCCCGCATTCCGCCTGGGGGAGGCAGAAGGTGTGTCACGGGGCTGAGCGCTGTGAGGAGTGACGTGAGGATAGAGGGTAGAGAGCAGCCGTGGGCCGGGTGGGGGCAGTGGTCATGTTTGAGATCCTGTGGCTGCAGAAGCCCGCGTGGAGCCTGCTCGGAGCGGGCGGAGCTCACAGCTCCTGAGAATGGTGGAGGTTGCAGGACAGGTCGGGACCCTCTCCCAGGGGGAGGTGGATGAATGTGGCTCAAAGGGGCCCAGAGTCTCAGGGGCACTGCTGGTGGCTGGTCCTAGATTTCATGCTGCCAATGGAGGTGCAGGCTCTGGGTGGCAGTGGGCACCAGCTTGGAAGGCACATCCCTCCCTTGGCTGGAGAAGTTAAGGGACCAGGCTGTGTTCCAGTCTATAACCAGGTGGCCCTGGGTAATCTAGGCCCAGAGGCCAGGCCCCAGAGCTCACCTGTCACCTTGCCAGGGGTCTAGCTTGGCAATCCGGTTCCCAGGGAGGAAAGAGGCTGCTGGGCGCAGTGAGCCACCCGGGGTGGGGAGGCCTGTCCGTGGCTTCAGACTTCGGGGACAGAGAAGCTGGGCTGCGACATGGTTACTAACCTGCTCCTCTCCCCCAGGGCCTCCAAGGAGAACGAGGGGACAGGGGAGCCCGAGGAGAAAAGGTATTTGCCGTCGGCTTCAGTCATTATTGCAGCTTCCTATAGGAAAGAGGAAGAGGGTGCCTGGGACCGTGCTCTGTGCGTGCGTGTGTGTGCCTGTGTGTGTGTGTGTGTGTGGGTGCGCGCGCGCGCACGCATGGCTGTGTGCCTGTGTATCTGCTCCACCAGGTGAGGTCCAGGAGAGGATGCCGGGCCAGTGCCCCTGCCAGCCTCCGTCTCCCAGGCAGCAGCATCGTGGTGTGGGGCCACCCTGACGCGGGCTCCTGCGTCCAGCCTGCCTGCGTCCGATTCCGGGGTGGGCTCTGCAAGCAGGGCGGCCTTTGGAGAGTGGTTTAACCTCTGGGTCTCAGATTTCCTCAGTGTCAGGAGAGAGAGCCGTGTCTGTCACATACGGCTGCTACGGGGATTAGATAAGTCAATGTTTGTGAAACCCTTAGGACAGAGCCAGGCAGCAAGCGCCATGTGTTCAGAGGGTGAGAACAGAGAGGAGGGTCAGAGACGGGGACAGAGTGATGGAGGGATGGAGACAGATGGAGAGCGAGAGGGAGATGGGAGACAGCGAGGCGGAGGGAGAGGCAGGGCCTGGGCTCCGCTAGCTCGGCTTTGGCTGCTCCCTGACTCTGGCGCTAACTTTCTGGGTGACTGAGCACAGCTGGTCCCTTCTCTGCACCTCCACTTTCCCATCTGTCAAACGAGGAGCCTGGACTGCATGATCCTCTAGGCTCCTCTCCAGTTTTCTTTCTGATGGGTCCTTAAAACAGTTTATTTTCTCACAAACCTCTCTGATTTCTAACATCAGCAAGAAGGAGGTTTCCATCTCCCCTCGAGACAGACCCATCCAGCTGCCTGGCCTCGCCCGGCATGGAGCTGGAGCTGGGCCGGAGACAGCCGCCACCCATCCGTCACTGAGGCCACTGCCCGACACCCGCATGACAGGGCGTTCTCTGTAAGGCGGGCGGCAGCCCTTGCTCTGGGCATTTTCCAGAAGGTGCCTTTGCAGGCACAGCAAGGCGTGGAGGCTCTAGGCACTAGGACTTCCTGGTGATGGGGGCAGCGAGGCCCGAATGGGCTGTCCAGGGACTCCTGAACTTGGGACTGTGGGCCAGTTGTAAGGTAGATCAAGTTAGTCACAGAGAAGAGTCCCCTCACTAAGGAGGCAAAGGTGGACGCATGGCCCTGCTCTGTCTGGAGAACCATGCTCCTGGGACAGCTCTGGGTGGATGTGACAGTCACGCATTCCCCAGGGGTCCCGCCCTGGTTCGGGAATAGGGCAGCCCAGGGCACGGCAGCCCTTGTAACACAGCAGGAGCGCCGGCTTTGGAACTAGAAGAATGAGATTCTCACCGTGGCGCTGCCTGTTCTCGCTCTGGGACCTTATACCGGCTCCCTGCCTCTCGGACCCTGCGTCCTTGTGTAGCATTTAGATGTAATATGAGCCGTCTCAGGAAGTGGCTCTGAGGGTCCATTCGCTGTGAAAGCGAATAGAGGACGGGGCACCTGGTAGGCACTCCCTAACCGTGAACATCGGAGGGACCGGGACCCATCCGTCCCACCCGCGCCGGCCCCCAACCCTGCTTTCTGATGAGCCGCCAGTGAGGCTGGCGCCCTCAGTCCTCGTGGCTCTAGGAGGGTGGCAGAGTTGCCCACCAGGTCCGGGGGCGTGAGTGCTGGCTGGACACCGTCCGTGTGCCGGCACACGGAGGCACAGTCATGCCTTCATCTGGTAAACCCTTCGGAGCCAGCGCCTCTCCGTGACGCAAGCATGCCAACACCCAGAGTTCTGGATTGTCACCACACGCAGCCCAGAAGACGGCTCAGCGTTTCTGCTGTGAGTGGGGCGCACGCTCCCTCTGCTGTCAGAGACTCAGAACCGCAGCCAGTGGACTTGGCTCGGGGGATTGGGATGGGCGCTCCGGGGCTTCCTCTTCCGGGCTGTGTGACCCAGGGTGAGGCACTAATCTCTGAGACTCGATGATGTCCTTAACTGAAACCTGGGCCATCTGTCACAGGATTGGTGTGAATTTTAAATGAGACAGTGCCTGCCTCTGCACCAGGTGCCAGAGGATGCTCCAGACAAGGACCAGTGTCCTTTAATTTGCACCTGCAGGCGGCCCTCTAAGGGAAGGGACACGGGAGGCGGAAGAGACCCTCGTTCCTGTAATGCAGCTGCCTTTTCTTTTCTTTTCGTCCTTCGTTATTTCGACCCAGAGAGGAATCCGAATCCCACAGAGGTCTAGACTCTCCTGGCCATGACGGAGCCGAGATCAGGACTCAGGCATCCTGCTCCTAGCTCACTGCTCGCGTGTCTCGTCGCTCTGTCCCCCAGCTCACACCCAGCCCTCTCCGTGGCATTCCTCTCTTGCTGGCCCCTTTCAGCTGATTTATTTTTCGCTCCTTTCCCTCGACCCACATCATCGCTCTCGTTTTGTTTAACCAGCTTTCGATGTGTACCCTGCACGTGCCAGGCTCTGTCCCAGGTTTCGATGTGTACCCCGCACGTGCCAGGCTTTGTCCCAGGTAGTCCTCGTGTGTTAGCTCGCTTAATCCTCCCAGCAACTCTGTAAGGTAAATGTCATCCCCGCCCATAGGCGGGGAACTGAGCCATAGAGGTGCTGAGTGTTTGGTCCAGGGTCACACAGCTTGAGAGTGGAGGGAGCAGGGTTTGAGTCTGCGCGGGGAGGCTGACCACTGCTTCCTGCCCCTGTCCACCCCTGAGAGCTCTGCTGTCACCCAGTCTGTGCCAGAAACCAGGCCGGTGGCCAGCTGTCCAGTCTCTGTCCTCCGTCGTGGTTGTGTGTTCAGTGCAGTGGTCACAAAAACCAGCAAAACTGAGCAGCAAGCCTTCAGGCGGGACACGCGCTGTCTAGTTTGACCTCTGACTCAGTTATTCCCTGTGGCTTCCACCCCACCCGGTGTCCCAGCCGGGCCTCCGAAGGCATTTCCGTTAGACTCTCTGCTGTACAGATTGTCGTCTTTTGCCTTCTGCCTGTGCTGTCCCTCAGCCTCTCTCGCTCCCTCATCCACCCTCCTGCTCATTTGCTCCCTCTCGTCACCCTGCTAATGAAAAGCCGCACCCGTCAGCACTCCAGCTGCATCCCCCTGGCCCTGCTCGCCATGTGCTGCCCAGCGAGGCAGATTGCTGATGCCACATCCTGCCAGGCCCTCCCCATGCGCCCGGCGGCTGTGCTGAGTTGCAGCTGGGAGGAACCTTTGCTCGGTCTCCACTGCTTTTGCTTTTGAAGTGCAAGCGCGAGGAAGTAGGGCACGAGGCAGAGGCCCCCACTTCCAGGTCAGACTCGCGAAATGACGAGCTGCGAACCCGCTCGATTCGTTCCCCTTTGCTGAGCCCTGTGGGAGTGCCGCATCCCAGGTGACGTCCAGGAGGCTGGCCTGCTGCAAGGAGATGAGCTCTGGACGAGAAGTCAGGAGGCCTTGACTTCAGTCCTGGCTCCATCACGGAATCAGGTGGCAGAGCAGAGCGCGGCAGCTGTCCTCCGTTCCCCCCGAGGGTCATGTAACGAGGAGACTTTTTACAAAAGCATTCTGTGCAGTAGTGCTGGACGACAAATGTATGCCATTGTTCGAGGGTGCGTAGATCATTGCGGGAGGACAGAGCGTGTATGTGAGTCAGTTTGCATAGGTGTAAGATGGAGGGAACTACGAACCAAGCTGCAGGATGCGGAGAGTGCTGGAACATCCCCCAAGTTCAAAGCCCTGGAGGTGGGGAGAGGGGGCCTGGGGCAGCTGTCGGTGGTAACTGGGGCCGCGCACTTAGGCAGCTGACTTGGCAGCTCCTCCCCGATTCCTGCTTGAACGGCCAGTGGAAGCGTCAGTTCTTACCCCGAGACCGAGACCAAGGACCTTCCTCAGGTAGCCAGCGATCCCCGAAGGCGTGGGAGCATCCACACCCAGAACACCTGCCGAAGCCTCCCAGCTGTCGGGAAATGCCACCTTAGCCTGCGGCCACCAGAGGTGGGCTGCAGTGCATGGAATCGACATCCACAGGCAGGTGGCCTAAGCCTGGCATAGCAAAAACGAGCAGAAAACCAGGAATCCTCCATCGTTCAAAGACAAACGACATCTTAACACACCAACTTAAAAAAAAATACCAGGCAGAAATAACACTCAATAAAGTCATTAAAGTCATAGAGAAATAGAAACAAAATTCAAAATACACTTAAACTGTAGGTTGGGATTGTGTGTGTGTGCGTGTGTGCGTGTGTGTGCGTGCACAGCTGTCCTATACCCAAAGGTGCCTGGTGGAGAGTGGGGCTGAGCATGGTCAGACACCAAGGGCCTTTGCCTGCCTTGCCTTTTTATGACCTCGACCACGGGCTTGTCCATCTGTTACTTATTTCTTCATTTCCTTCTCTTGCCAGGGGGAGCGAGGCCTGGATGGATTCCCCGGGAAGCGCGGGGAGACTGGAGAGCAGGTAGGCGGAGTCCGTGCGGGAGAGCTGATTATTGTGGGAGGAGGCGGACATCTGGGGCCTGGCACAAAGCTCTAACGGGCCTGGGGGCCTCCACTTCGTCCTGCTCAGCTGGAGGCTCCAGCCCCAGTTTACGGTCTCATGTGGGCTCTTCCGGCACCAGCGGGAGGGGTCCCAGGGAACACAGCGCACTCTGTCCGTTCTAACTTGGTGATAGGACGTGTGACCATGAGTGTCAAGGCCGTGGTCAGTGCGCACAGGTTCAAAGTGATGTCTTCATTGCAGTCGCAGCCACGAGTAAAAGACTGCCCCCAACCCACATGCCCCTCAGCGAGGGCCAGGGTGGAGAGATCCTGGGGATGACAGGGAGCTCCCGACGTGGCTTCCCTAACACACGCCGTTAAGTGGGAATAAAGGACAGAGCGGGATGGCGTGGGAAAATGCGTCGATGGCTTGTGTAGACGTCGTTATCTTTGGAAGGATAAGCAGGAAACTGACAACTTGCTTTCTTGGTTTGCTCCAGGGGACACCTGGCCCTCCCGGCCCGGCAGGACTGCAGGGAGAGAAGGTGAGCCCGGCCCTTAGGTGGAAGGTGGCCCCGGGCTCTGGGCAGGCAGGTGTGCGAGCTGCCCACCTGAACAAATCAGGACCCCCAGGGGCCGGGGCGGGCGGGGGCAGTTCTGGAAACCAAGTGTGGACAGAGGTGGTGAGTTGGGCAGCAGGTTCACAGCTAACATGTGATTTCTGGTATTTGAACTTTTCTCTACTTTCAGGAATAAAAATCCATTTAATAAACAAAACTCTATTGTATTATATCCAGCCATATTAAAATATTACGATATGTAAATTGCTTTTTGGACTTAGGCAGGCTAGCAGTGAGTGCCAAAAATAACCTTTCAGACTTTTTTCCTTCCTTTTCTCTTCTCTGCAACATTAAAAAAATTTCTTTTTATCAGAATAATAGTTCTGAAAATGTACTACATCTTTCGTGAACAAAATAGTGTTTCTTGTCATACTCGTCCTCTATTTTAGAAGCGGCGAGGCTTAACTCAGTCAATGTGCTGCTTAGAATCTCTGCATCTCAGCTGAATAAACCGCGGGTCGTAATTCTTGGCAAATCACGAGGTCTATAAAAGTGAACGGGCATCCAGTAATCTTCCTAAGCGTTCAGGCAGTGGGCACGTAGCAGGTGTGACATGTCCCAGATTGCGGCGAGAAGGGACACGAGGTGCCGCCTGCATTCGAGGATGAGAGAAGGGCTGTCTCCCAGATTCTTGGTCAGGCCCCTAGAGACACCAGACACGGGTTTGGGAGTAGCCGGGAGAGGCCAGCGAGAGCAGGAGGAGTCCAGCCGAGTCAAGGTGGCTGTGGCCCGAGGCACGTCACATCTGCTCAGCGTCACACTGCAGAGCCCAGGCGAAGGTCACAGGCCAACGCAGACCAGCTCCCAGCGTGTTCCAAAAATAAAGGAAGAGGCAAAGGCTGTTCTGACTCCTTAGAAACAGACAAGGCATATGGTACAGATAAATAAACAGGACCACAGGCTGAAAACCCCTCTGCCGAGGGCTGGCGGTGGAGATGTCCACGTCTTCCACGCTCACTCAGGCTGCAGCTCTGGCTGAGTGAATTGTTCTCTCTCTAAGTATTTTTAGGGTTGAGATTTACATTGTTACATGATCCTGGCGTCAGGATTCTAATATGTTCTAGCAGTTCCCTGATGGAATGCTAAATCTTAAAATAAGTAGTTTATTTCATGTTGCTAAGAGGGAAGGATCACTGAGGTTTGGATCTGGTGATGACTCTTTCCTGCTACTGCCTATGAGCATGCGCATGCCTCTGTGTGTGTGTGTGTGTGTGTGTGTGTGTGTGAGAGAGAGAGAGAGAGAGAGAGAGAGAGAGAGAGAGAGATTATAAATTCTAACCTTCCATCTATTTTTAGATTTCTGAGGGCTCCCTACTGTTTAGGAAAGAGTTGAGTTATGGCTTATGATGAATGCAGCAGAAGCAGGGAGACAAGGCAAGGGTCATGGTATTACTCGGGGTGCTCATTGGAGTGGTCAAGAACCAGTGATCTCAGGCGACGGGATGCCTGTCAGCTCATGCTGTCATTCTGGGAGAACACCGTTGAGGCATCTCAGCTGTTGCACCATTTGAGAATGTCATTGGAACCGTGGAGCTGATCCCTTTAAACCCCCTCACTTTACAGACGTGAGAACAGAGGCCTCGAAAGGTGGGCTGTCTCTGTCAGTTAAAGTGCGTTAACAAGTATCATCGACTGAGATTTTAGAAAAACGCCTGATGCTATGTAAAGAAAGGTGGTTTTTCCGAGTCTTGGGCAGCGGTGGGGACAGTGAGTTTTGACTGTCGTTTAGTTCGGTGTCAGAGAAAACACCCTGTCCACGTACTAGAACCTCAGGTGAAGTAAAGGACAACAGACATTGCCTGGGTCACCCATTCTCACTCCTTAGCCTTGGCGTCTAGTAGACGCTTTTGTGTTTATTCAGTGATGCGCTCATTCTTTGCCAGGTAGTCAGTACTGGTCTGTGAATGCCTCCCATGCTTCTCAAGCTGGCCTCAGGGAAAATGAGAACTTATGTCCTCAAGCCGTATGTGGGGACACTGGCTACGGGTAATGTCCTTGTTTTAGCTCTAGGTCAATGGAATACTAGCAGTGAAGATCTTTCTGTTGCCCCCGTTGGCAAACATGCCCTGTGTAGAACCAAGATGTCGCTCACAGCCTGAGAGATTTGGCATAGCCAGTCGCCCTTGCCCAGGTGACCTGGAGGTGGTGGAGAGGGGGACGCAAACAAGGCTTGTCTATCGCGACTTGTTGAAAATGGATGGGTCCACCACAGAGTTTGTGTTCATTGCTTGTTTGATGCACGTTTATTGGACGCTGACCCTGTGGACTTGGTGGAAGGGCCACACTGCCACACGGTGTCCTCGCCATTCCTGGTGCCTCTGGCACAGTGCCCGGTACAGCCAGGCGCACGCTGAAGAGTGGACCAAGGGCCGTTCTCGAGCACAGAAATGGTCGTGACAGCCCCACCAGATCTAGGCTCTGGACTGGATGTGCTCAGAGGGCAGGACCAGTCTCCTCCCGTCTTGATGGCGAGATGAGAACTAGACACAAAATTCAAGACTGTCGCAAGAAGGGAGTAAGGCCAGGCATGATGCCAGCACCTGTGGCTGAGCGCAGAAAAGGAGGTGGTCCTGTGGGCTGGCGTGAAGAAGCGAGAGCCTCCGAGGGTGGGGAACGGTGGAAGCATGTGGCGAAACGCACACTCTGTTGAAATGCTTGTCATCTCTACGCAGGGTGACGTGGGGCCTGCAGGACCACCTGGGGTACCGGGCTCCGTGGTAAGTGGCACAGCTCCAGCGGTTGGAACCAGAGACTCACAGGCTGATACAGTTGGGGAGTTAAAAGAGTTCCTGTCTCTAAGAATAAGGCAGAACCTTCTGACAAAACAAGTGGGATACAAAGCTTTCAATAATGAAAATGAGAAAAATCAGAGAAAAGTCAGAAGTTGCAGGCATGCCGTGTGAATGAGCCGAGAGAGATTGATTGAGAAAATGCGACCATCTTTGCTGACACTTGGTTTGTCCCGCAGGTGCAGAGGGAGGGCCTGAAGGGCGAGCAGGTGAGAGGGACGCGGGCCTCCCCGCTGCGGGGTGGGAAGTGGTAACAGAGTTGAAGACCATGGCCATGGGCTCGAAGCTGCTTGTTGAGCTCAGATGGAGCCTTTTAGAGATGGGCCAAGGAGTGCAGATGCCCGCTTGTACCTCTGGGCCCTGTTGGGAGCTTGGGCAGCAAAGGGCCATGGGGGCCGGCCCCAGTGGCAGCCCGGTTACATGGAAGGGGAGTCGTGGCTAACGCATGTTTGGCTTGTGTCACCAGGGAGCTCCGGGACCACGAGGTGACCAGGGCCCACCTGGGCCTCCGGGAGCTCCGGTAAGTCCCCCCACCCCAGCCCGTCTGCTCTGAGCACCTCTAGGTCTGGGAGATAATAGTCCTTCCTGTCACTGAGCACTGCGTTATTTCAGAAGCTCGTCCCGTCCCCCTGGGCGATAGGCCGTGATGTCAGTACATCTTGCACAGGAGGAAACTGAGCTTTGGAGAATGAAATTACCGGCCATAAGCCATGAAGTTCAACTCCAAGTGTGGAACTGGAGTTGGAGCCCCAGCAGCCTGCCTTCAGACCCCACTGTCCCAGACAGACCGGGATTGGGGTTTCTGGTGCCCAGCCTGGTTCAGTTTCCTTTCAGATGAAATGGAATCAGAATATTAGACACTTCGCTGCCAGCTGACTCACATCCAGTGCTCATCGGCTTTCCCCACATTTCTGATTGATACGACTTTGCAGGGGCTTGGAACTCTCCAGCCTTCGGTTTCTGCCTCTATTCAGAATTAATGATGTGTGAATAACCATTTGGGAGGAGGCCATTCAGAGAGACTCTGTGATCACTTTGTGATGTGACTTCAGATGTTAAGGATAATTAATAAGAACACAGTAAGTGCCATGGGTCGATGATTTCACTGTGCTCTTCCTGGCATCATGGTGCTGCCTCTTTCAAGTTATGGTGTCGTAGTGAAGGAAGTCATACAATTCTTATTTCGAAGCGTCCCTAAGTCAGATTTATATGATGCCATCAAGACCCACTCCTCATTAGGATAAGTGTGAATGGTTTCGCTGGGGTAAAACTGGAGGAAACTTAGAAGATGTTTCATTCCAGTATAATCAGAGCAATGTCATATCAAAGAGTTTGGGTTAGAAAAGCTACCTTCTGTCTCTGTAACCTTAGATGTCTTGCTTAACCTCCTGAGGCTCAGTTTCCAGAGTTTTCCACCATTGTTCTAACTTGTTAGATTTAAGGTAATAACGCAGTAATAGAGTATACTCTCGATTTTAGCGAGAGAGAGAGAATGCATGTACGCATCCATGCATGTACGCATCCATGCACGTATGCTTATATAGTTGATTATAATTGGCCAATACTGAATTTCCCTGGTATATTTTATATGCAGATATATGCACGTTAAGTCTACAGGGGTGACCGTGTCGTTTTCTTGTTTTACCAACGAAGATATTGGTGCAGAGGTATCAAGTGGCCTGCACAGAGTCACGTAGCTAGTAAGAAGCAACGCTGAGCTTTGAGCCCAGATCTGGCCAGCCTCTGCTCCTTCCAGGCCTGAGCGTGCAGCACAGCGATACCCGCCCTGGGATGTGCTTCACGGCTCCCACTAAGGAATAAGAAGCAGTAACGCTTAGCCCAGCTTAATCATAAGGCAACCTTCCCGACCTCTCCCCCTGAGACCTGGGATGAAATGATGGGTAGTCCTCCTCATAAATGCAGATTGTGTTATGATAAATGGGGGAAGGGGAGAAAGAAGAAGACTGGAACAGTTTGGCCACCTAAGTTTTATATAAAGCGAAATGTCAAGGCTGGCGACGATACAGGAACAAAACCATGGACTGATGACCACGGTTTAATGAAGGAGATGTGGAAAAATAATTAATCTTCAGATGGTTAGTGAAGATTCTCTGTACGTGGCATGCCCACAGCTTATAGCGGAGGGCAGCGAGAAGGTCCCCAACCCACAGGACGTTCAAACACCAGAACGCCGCCACCCAACTGCCTGGTGGAGCTGTCCAGGGTTCTGAAGTGGTCCTTCAGGCTGGATGCTCTTGCTCGAATGGGATTTGGTGCTATACCTGCTGCTGCTGAAACTCCCTTGGAAGTATTTAAGCCCCACAGCCTACCCGAACCCCTGTCAGAGGGCGACGGGCGGTGATGAGAGGCCAGGGCTTCCAGATCCGTAAGGCCAGGGCCAGTACCTCTGTCGTCTCTAGACCAAAGAGTATATCACGTGGCGGGAGCTTGCTGCTTGCTGCTTGCTTCTTACAGGGGAGTGGCCCCATGGTAGGTATTCAGAGGGACGTCAGAGTAGGACCCGGTGGCAGTGTGATCTCATAAGGAGCAATCTGGCCGTGAAGGGCACGTGGAATTAGGAGCCCGATGTCTGGTTCCACGCCTCAGTTCTCCCACCAAGTAGCCTTGTGTCTTCGATAACATTTCTTAATCTCGCTGATCCTCTTTTGCTCCCCTGCTTATTTGGGAACCATCATCACCATCACCATCGTCGCCATCATCACCACCACCACCACCACTGTCATTATCATCGTTGTCACTGTCATCACCATCGTCACCGTCATTGTCACCATCATGAATTCCTACATAAACGTGCTGTGAGGCTTCAATGAGCTGATGGATGAAACAGTGCTCTGTGAATCCTTATTAACTCAGCACCGATATCAACTGCCATATCTGTCTTATTTGAATCCCTAGCAGCACCTAGCCCAGGGCCTTCCACAGAACAGTTTCTCCCTAAATACTCATTGGGTTGAATCAAATTGTGAAGCTGGCTTCAGTGACCTCTGTCGAGTAGAAAATTTTGAGCTTGTGTTCAGCAGTCCCAGCAGAAGGGAAGTGTCTCCCATTCTCTAACTGGAAACAGTGTGCAGCCTTCCACATCCGCACGACGGGGCTGTCTGGGAGGCATGCCTCTCCCATCCTTTCCCCAACATGAGCAGGCTTGGGTAGTTTTATCGAGGTCCGGTCGAGCGTAATAAAGAAGGACCAGTCGGCCAGAGCAAGTGCAAGGCGTTTCTTGAGGCTTAAAGAAAACTCATTTCTGTGAGGACCTCCCTTACTATGTGCCCTGAGCCCAATCTAGTGACCCTTGCGAGGAAAGGAGATTTAAACCTTTAGTGCGGATTGTCTACTTGTGTGTCCATCTACGTGATGTTATTAAGAGGAAAGATCTTGGATCCAAATACAGTCGCTTATTAGTTATGCAAAATTTGGCAATAGCAGCTCTTTGTATGATGATAATTTTTATTGAAATTAGGACACTGGAGTGCAGAGAGGGAGCTTCTAGCCAAAATTCACCCGGAAAATTGATGATAGAATCACAGCCAGAGCTGAGGCTTTCATTTGCCCACTCGCTTCAGGTGTCAGCATCTGGGTGTCAGTCAGGGCGCTGTCAGGAGGTCTGGGTGCTGTGGCAGGGCTTTCGTATCCATTCTTCATGTGGTCCTCACAGGCACTCAGTGGGTAGGTATAACGTGTTATCCTCACTTCGGAGATGAGCCAGCTGAAGTTCAAGGACGCCAAAGGACTTGTCTGAGGTCTTGCAGCAGATACATGATTGGGGGTTTAGGGGCAAGATTTGAATTAGGTCAGTATGACCTCTTCCTGTGCCAGTCAATGTTCATTGCTTAATTGAAACTGATCGTTTTTAGATAAATTTATTTTTTTGTCCACACTGTCATATTTTGCATGTTGCTGTTGACCGGGAGTCAGATAACTCCGGCCGGTTTTGCTGAAACAGCAAGATAATGGGGGAAAGAGCACTGGGCTTAGACCTAAGACGCTTGGGTCCCGGACACCGCTTTTGTGCACACTTTATCCAAAGCACGAATGCAAGCCGTCGGTCCTTCTCGTAGTCTTTAAAGTGTGAACGACGTTGCCTACGACTTGGTTGTTAAACGCACTCGATGCGATCAGATTGGTGCGCGTGGTTTAAAGTTTTGGAGATTTGCGACCTTCCAGTTTCCCCCCTGGGGCGGGCGGGATTTTCCTATCCAGCAGAGTGAGAGGACGAAGTGTAGCCTGCGGTGTTGAACCCTGTGCTTACCGTTGTCTGTTCTTCCTTCCTCCTCCACCTCAAGGGTCCGATGGGTCCAGAGGGCGAGGGCGGACCTCCCGGCTTGCAAGGTCTCCGGGTAAGTGAACTGTCTTCCCTGCCACACGCCCCACTCACCCACACCAGCCCCGTTGTAGCAGCCCAGACAGAGGAGCCGATGCCAGCCTCGTGAGGTTAGATTTGGTTCATCAGACGTGGCCGAGGACCTCCCGCGTCTGCAGCCTCGAGCTGGGGACGTGGGGACAAGTGTGTTGTCTGCCATGAGCCATGTACACAGAACTCACTCCCCCTGGCAGAAGGGAGCCCAGTGCTGAGGGGACACAGACACTCAGCACCTGACCCAACCTGGTGGCAGTGGGGGCTTCTTGAAGGCGGTGATGTTTGAGCTGCATCTTAAGGAAAGAATAAGAACAGTGGTGAGAGGACGGAGACCTGTCAGCCGCAGGTAGCTCCTTCGGCCTAAACAGCTGCGGTCACGGAGCATCAGAACGCCTCGCGCACTCCATTCAGCTTCATGTGACTTACCACCCGCCTCCGTATCCAGAGCGTGTGTACCTTGTGGGTTTTAGTTCACCAGGAAGCACAGCTGTTGATACAGAACCATGTGTTGTGAGGGGTGTTACGGCTTAAGGTCATGTGGTTTAAGGGGTCGTGTGATAGAGGGGTGTAGAGGCACACCTGGGTTAGGTGGCCTCCTCAGTGTCCCACAGCAGACTGAGACTGACCCTTGGCTCTGTGTCCCCAGTTCTCAGCTGGGCGCCTAGCACAGAGCAGAGACTCAGCTTCACCTTCGCTGACCTCTAGGCTTTCTGCCTGTAGCACCTTTTGCTAGTTCCCGTAGAGGACTGCTTAGGGCACAGCCGAGTGACCGTGGGTTAGGCAGCCTCTGGAGGTAGTGAGCTCACTGCCCCTGCGGGCCTTGGTTCAGAGGCCTGGTGACTACAGACAGACGAATGGAAGTGGGGGTCCTGGCATCTGACAGGCTGCCCTGGTCCCTTTTGTGGCCTCTCTTAGCCTGGAGGTTCTGTAGCTCAGTGACGTGGGTGGTGTCACGGATTTGCTGTGGATTCACTCTGCCTGCGGATTGGACCCACCCTCTGAGCACGCTTTGTATCCCCGTTTCTGATATTGGGTGACCTGCTTTTATTACTCAGCCATACTCCAGCCTGTCCTTACCCACCAGTAGACCTCCTTCCTTGATTTTCAAACCCCCCTGCATCCTGTAACCATCTTGAACCCTCCAGATTGTAGAAGGAACTGATTGGGAAGGCTAGCTGAGACGAGGGAGCTGTCATGGAGGAGGGTTGGTGGGAGAGTAGGAAGTCCCATCTCCCTGTCGGCGAGATGGGTCAAGGCAGGTCGCCTTCTCCAGTGCAAGGATCCTGGCTTTGAGCCAGGTGCACCTGGGTGGGGAGCTGAGTCCACCTGTCAGCAGCCGTGTCACCCTTCCAGTCACCTGGCCTTTCTCTGAGCTGTCGACTTTGTCACGGTGGGAAGGCATCTCCACCAGCTGAGCTGCTGTGGGGGAAAGTACCCAGGGTGGGGCTTGGCCCTCGGTGGGCAGCAAGATGTGGCGGCCGTCATGGCTGTCATTCTCCCAACGAGCTCATGCACGGTCTTGAGTGACAACGGCAGTCTTTA